CCCACCCACTGACAGGGAGCCATGATAACCAGATAATCAGTGTTATTCCCTTCACCTGTCAGTGCTCATAATGTTATGGCTGATCGGTGTATATAGACACACACATTTAAATCAATCGAGCAAATGCAATGTTATGATGCAATTAGTTAGTTTGTAAAGAGACTTTGGTAAGAAAAGCAACCTGAAATGATAAAAGTGAGGGGTACCTCCCCAACATGCTTCACATGGCTCAATTTCTTTCTGCATTATTTATTGTTTTGTTTTTGTCAGGGTCAACCAGGCAGTAATGGCCCTGCTGGTCCAAAAGGAGATGTGGTAGGTTTTACTGGAATAATCAGTGCTGTTGTCTTTACTCAGTGGCCTAACCGAATCAATATTCCACTGTACTGAGACTGACACCCTTTCTTTCTCTGACAGGGTGAAATAGGGCCTATGGGAACAAAAGGATTTCCTGGCAGTGAAGGACCCATGGTAAATAATATGAAATCATTCCCTCTAATGTTAAATGGCAAATTTCAGTTACTAAACTGTATGTCATATAGACAGTATACTGCTTACACACTCTTCTGTAATGAACTTGTGTTCTGCTGTTAAAAAAAGAAGAAAAGAAAAAAGGCTTTAATGTAAATGTAAAACTAGACTTGTCTAGAGTACTGGAACAGTAATAATGAACAAAATGGGGACAGTCCTTACATGGTTTCAGACCAATATAAGGGATGTGGTCTCAAAACTTTAAAAATGAATGTAATTTTAGCATTCAGAGACCCAAAAGAGCTTTACTTGCAAGTTTCTTAAAAAGACTTGTACTTCTCACAACTGACTTGAGCTAATTTGAGACTTATCGTAATTAATATAATTTGACTTGACTTAAGACTTGAGACTGGACTTGGGCGTGTCTCATGTGACTTGAAATTTGCTTTTATGTGACTTGACTTGGTGTTTTCTTGACCTGACTTGACTCGGACTAGTTTTGATTTACTTGAAATAAGACTTCATTTGACTTTATAATGGCAGTTTTTAAGAACCTACATGATAAATGAGTGATAATTTAATTTTCTACTGTTGAATGTATTTCAATTTGTCTACTATATTTTGATAATCTGAATGGTCCATAGAGAGTTGTCTAAACTTTTAATTTAGAAGGGTTACTGGAGACAGTCTCGCTCTCATGTGGCTCACATCAGATTTAGCCACTACCTATTTTCCCCCGTTTTATTGTATTTTATTTATTTGTTTTTTTTTGTTCTCCAAAGAACCGGATTATTCTTAAACTAAAAATAGCAAGGGAAAGAAGCCTCAGTTTGAATTCCAACACGGTAAATGTGAGCAAGTTATGGTGATGTTAAAGATGGCAAACATTTTTCATCTGTGATTTGCTGCGATAGAAGCATCAGGATTTCTCCTTGCTCTGTTGCTCTTTTAGGGGATGTCTGGAAGTCCTGGTCCAAAAGGATTCGCCGGTGGCACAGTAAGCAGGATGGTCTTCTGTTTTCAATAAAATGTCAACATTAACATTGAGATTGTGGTCAGATTATTAAAGCTGTATTCATCAATTTTAAAAATAAAAATAAAAATCAGCCCAAAAACAATCAGAAACACATCTAGCATTCTACATTTACTCAAATAGCTGAGGTACTTGAACTTTACTTGAGTATTTACATTTTATGCAACTTTATACTTCTACTCCACTGTATCTCTGAGGGACTTATTCTATTCTATTTCTTACTCCACAACGTTTGTCTGACAGCTTTAGTTACTAGTTGCTTGTCAGATTACAATGTGTTATACCATCCTGTCCAGCAGTAACTGTAACACATTAATACAGCAGTAAATTAATCCAAAAACATCATATAACAGTAAAACACTGACCGGGACCATTTTCCTGCATTATGAGTACTTTCATTTTTCATACTTACATTTTGCTCATAGCATACTTTTACTTTAGGTAAACTGTTGAATGAAGGACTTTTACTTGCAGTGGAGTATTTTCACAGTGTGGTTAGCACTTTTACTTAAGTAGAGGATCTGAATGCTTCCACTGCTCCTTACGCCTTGCAGACAATTTATGTATTAGCCAATTTTTGGCGAAAACTGTGGTGGGTTAAAAGATAAGTTGAACTGAATTGACCTGAAAGTGATGCGAGTCAAACTTAGCTAGCATAAAGGAGGAAAACAATGATTAAAGTTAAAATGTAATGTTTATGTTTAGGGCTCTAGAGGACTGGATGGTGACAAAGGAGAGGCTGGACCCAAAGGAGACAGGGTAAGAGGAAGTTGAACTGTATTGTGTCATTTGTTTATTATTGTGTCATAAAGATAAAAGATTGCTCCTGAGAATTCAGATTGTCAGAGCTGGTGTAAACTTGGATCACCCCTACACTGTTTTGACCTAGTCCAAAAATTACAATTCAATGCTGAATTTAATAGAAGGGGATGGACATTTTTGTTTTGAGATGTCAAAACATATTCAAATAAAATCACTTTACTGTAAATTAACATCTAAACATTGCACAGCACATTGTCATGTGAAACCTTCAAAATCTCGTATCAATATTTCTTGGTATAATGACAGTAAACAAAGGAGATCACAAACAGAACTCCATGTAACAGTATTTTAAGGGCTTATTGTTCTTTTAGGGCCCACCAGGTGCTGCAGGGATCCTAGGCCGTCAGGGAGAGAGAGGTGAACGTGGAAACACAGGTCTTCAGGGGACGAGAGGTCAACCTGGGCACCAAGGAAAAGAGGTACATCAATCATGATATGATCAGAGAGCTCCTGTGTTTTGGTATGCAACCCATCCCAATGCTGCACAGGTTGTGACACTGTTGTTTGTTTGTAGCTAAACATCTACTTCACTCAATAGATTTCTTGACCCCATAAAAGCCATTCTGGTAGCAATGGAATTTAATAAATTTTGCAATGAATTAACTTTTAATATTTAATTTTGATCTTACTTCTAACAAAATGTTACATAACCACCATGGGTTTCCATGAATTTCAAATCCCCAAAATACTGCCAGCCTAGTTTGACAAAAAAAACCTTAACTTACTGTCAACAACTTAGTTGTAGCCACATCTCATAAGCACTAGACTCCTTCCACCAGTGAGGACCATGAGACGTAGCTGAAAGCTCTCGAAGAAATTTAGCAAGTGATTAGCTTTTTAGCTATGAGTTAAAAAAATTCAAATTTAAAATGCTCAATAGAGCTTTTTCAATTATACTGAAGAACACTTCTAATAACATTAAAAGATTTTTGGATTGTATACATATATATGTATTCATAGTGTTGTTTTATGAACATGTTATGTGTCATTATTTTAATCACTATTTTATGTCTCCTCAGGGTGAAGATGGGGAGGCTGGTCTCCAGGGAGTGGCTGGTAAACAGGGGCCAAAGGTTAGAGGCTTTTATTGCTGTCTGGTCAAGTAAAACTAATAAAGCAGAGTGATATCAGTCACAGCTTATTGTCCACAGGGACATTTGTTACATCGCACTGCACTCTGAAAACTGCAAACTGACAAAGCTTTTGCACCAAGTGATGTGAAGTTTGAAGAGATAAGGCCAGATGACAACTGTTCCTGTAATTTTGATTGCCTCTATTACTTAGCAATGATAAGAAAATGTGTGTAGTAGCTAGTGTAAAAACAAAGCTATACGAATCAAGTGAATAATGTTAATTAATTAGTCAATTTTGTTACCTGGATTCATTATTTTAAATAATAAATTTTATCAATGATATTTTGTAAAACCATAAGACTTTAGTTTTATATTTTATTTGTATGAAATCTTTAACATCCCTAGAAACAACTGATACATGCAACTGACAAGAATCTCATGTATTTATATTTAAAGCCAAATTAATTGATTATTTTGTGCAGTTACCTATTTATATTTAAATATAAATGTATAAACAATTAAAATTAATTAATTAAAATCTAGTCAGCACTAGATAAGCCATTAATTAATTATCCCACTTATCTTTATTTATTTATTTAAAAAATGCTGGTGAAAAAAGTAAAAAAAGAAAGTCTGTTTTTATTTACATTGCAGGGCATCAGAGGTACCCCAGGCCAAAATGGAAATTTAGGGCTCAAAGGACCAAGGGTAACTATTATCTGGACAGTATAAACTCAAATAAACCAGATTCAGTTTTTATTTTATTGTCTTTTTGGCGTCTACATTTGCAGGGTCGCACAGGACTCCCTGGCCTGTTTGGTCTACCTGGCATGCCGGTAAGAACAAACTAAACAAGTTAAAAGCAGCTCATCATGTCTGATAGTTTACTGCAAACACTAAACCATATTTGTGTGTTTGTTTGTGTGGACTGTTGCAGGGTTTTAGAGGCAGAGTTGGGATTGAGGGACCAGAAGGAAAGCCTGGTACACAGGTTCCCATTTTATAACTTTTCATCTCATATGATTGTGTTTTTGCTGCATTCCTTATTCCATTAAGCCATCTCAACATGTTGCTTTTAACATGGTGGTACATCTGTAACACCATATGTCTTACATGCAGGGTGTTCCTGGTTCTGCTGGCTCTCCTGGCCCTGAAGGAGACAGAGTGAGTTGTATTTTTTAACCCACTGGTGAGGAAAGGTTTGGTCTACAAGCAGTTCAGTGTGGTGCAACTGATGAGGATATAGGCGCACAATAATAGAGAGTCTGTATGTGAGTGCACTGATTACAAGAAAATGCTGAATACAACTGCAACAAACGATTATTTTCATTGCAACTATTTTGTCTACTGTTTCTATGATTAATGGGTTAGTCTATAAAAATGGCCAACAATCAGCCCTCATCAGTTTCAGAGTTGTACATTTGGTAAGTATCTTCTTGATGGACAGTAATGGCATAATTTTTTCTTTGTACCAAACATTTTCAGTACATTTCATCAGGGCTTCTCAGTGTCTGGACCAAACTTTGATTTCCTCCCAAAACTTGGTAGCAATCAGAGACAACCTAAGGACCCTGCTGTTTCTATGCATTTACACCCCAAAGTTCCAAACATATATGTATCTATTTTGAAAAGTAGTCTCTCTTGTTTTTGAAACCATGCTTTAAATCTTGGAAACTCAAATTCACCATTTTCTGAAACTGTAAATGGTAAATGGACTGTATAGCACCTTTCTAATCTTCCAAAGCGTTTTTAGACTACATGCCACATTGACATTCATTGAGGTTTCATTTAGGATTCAGTATCTTGCTTAAGGATACTGTGAGGGGTCAGAGATCGAACCACCAATTAGTGGACTACCCACTTTGCCTCCTGAGACACAACTTCCCGTACACATTGCTATAACGCCTTTTAGTGCCTATTCTTTGAACATTGGATCATACACACCTGGCTTAAGTCACATGCCAAGCACATCAGTGTGCAAACCACTCTCTTTAATTAGTATTTTCCTACGATAACACTGTGGTGTCTTACCATGTTATCATTAAGGTCAGTACTGAATGTACAGTATGAACAGTGCTGTGAAAAAGTATTTGCCCCTTCCTGATTTCTTATTTTTTTTGTCACACTTAAATGTTTCAGACCATCAAACAAATTTTAATATTTGACAAGATAACCCGAGTAAATACAAAATGCAGTTTTTAAAAATGATTTTTTTTATTAAGGGGAAAAAAGCCTTATCCAAACCTAGCCTGGCCCTTGTCTGAAAAAATAATTGCAACCCTGGGGCTGCTTTGCTGGCTTCCAGGATCCTCCCGATGACTTGACGTAAATTAATGGGAACCAATGAATTTCTGCTCTCAGTAACCAGAAAATCCCTGAAAGGGAAGAATGTAGCAGCAGGACAATGATCTGAAACAACACCCAGCAGGTCTACCCTCTGAATGGCTTAAAAAAAACAAAATGAAGGGTTGTCGGGGGGGTTGAAGTGGCCTAAACGTCCAATGTCCGGACTTAAATCCGATTTGAGATGTTGTGGCATGAACTGTTAAAACAGGGCTGTTCATGGCTCCCGAAACCCTCCAAATGTGCCTGAATTTAAAACAATTCTGCAAAGAAGAGTGGGCCAAAACTCCTCCATAGCGATGTGAAAGACTCATTGCCAGTTATCGCAAACGCTTGATTGCAGTTGTTACTGCCGAGGGTGGCACAACCAGTTTTTAGGTTTAGGGGGCAATTACTTTTTCACATAGGGCCAGGTAGGTTTGGATAGCTTTTTTCCCTTAATAAATAAAATCATCATTTAAAAAACTGCATTTTGTATTTACTTTCGGGTTATTCTTGGTCAATATTAAAATTCATTGGTTTGTATGGGTCTGAAACATTTAAGCTGTGATCAAAAAAAAAAATAAGAAATCAGGAAGCAATACTTTTTCACAGCACTGTATGTCTGTGTTCTCTACACATGAATCAGTAAGTTCACTCTAAGAGGTGACACAAGTTGGGCAACAGTTTTCATGCAGTATTATAGAAATTTGATACATTTACATAGATACACAGGAGGAGCCTCATACTTCTACGTGAGTGGGAATCCTTATGTTTGTACAACATCACTTAATGATGACATGACAAATAGGGAAAACTGTTTTGTACTGTAGTGGTGGTAAAGTGATAAATTATGTTGCAACACAGCTGACCTGGTTGAAGATAAAGGAAAAAAAAAGTTTTGCAAAGAAGTCAAACTGATGTGGTTATCTGTACGTCTAGTAATAAACAAGGGGAACTAATAAGCCATTGTGTGGAGACCCTTTGCACTGTGTCTTCAGCCATTTTTTGTGTGTAAAGGTACAAAACTTGAAACTGTTGGGGATATTGAGCCAAATCATTCATTAAATACTGCAATCCCTGCACTCCCCAATGGCAAGATCTAGAAAGCTTCATATATATGTGTGCCATTAGTACCATCGCCGTGAACCACAGAAATCCTGTTGCTGTGCATTTTTAAAAGTAGCTCTCATCTCTGTTCACATGAAGGGGTTTCCCGGTGTGGCTGGTGATCCAGGGCAGGCAGGTTCTCTAGGAGCTCTGGTAGGCCATCACGTCTCCTACATTTACCATATTCCCAAACCAATAAGCTAATTTAAGGTTTGTAACATACTGAAAGTACTCATTTGTGACTTCAACAGGGTCCTCCAGGAAAGCCAGGTCAGGACGGGATCCCTGGACCAGCTGGAGAGAGGGTGAGCAGATTGGATTATTTTCAGTACACGTTGCATTACATGTTTCTGGTTGTGTGTGAGGAGTATTGCTTATTTGTACTGACTTCCATTATTGGCTGTGGTATTTTGAAAAAGAGAGCATCAGTAAAGAATGTGTACAGTAAAGGTTGAGTTGAAGTTTTTAGTTTTGATAATTGCGGGTGTTTTACGATAAACATGAAAAATGTATGTTAATGTCTTTCTTTAGGGCTTCACAGGGAAACCAGGGTTGATGGGCCCTCAGGGACCTGTGGGCATGTATGTAAGTGACCATTATGAACTGTTAAACTACGTAAAATGATAATAAATGACTAATTTAGCCCCCATGACGGCTGTGCCCAGAGGCATTATGTTTTAGGTTGTCTGGTCCATCCCATTCTTATGAACATAGCTTAGGAACATCCAGTGAGGTCACTGTGACCTCACAAACATGTTTTTGCCAATAACTCAAGAATTCATCAACAACATTTCACAAAAATGTCGAATGGGATAAAATAATGAAGAGATGGAAAGGTAATTGTATATGTTTCACTGTGACATCATTATGTTCTGCAGAATTATTCAACACCATAAGTCAGGAACAAAAGGGGAGATTGTGACTATATTTCACAATTCGTCTGTTTACTGAATTGGTGTCACTAATCGTGGGTGCCCAGCTTGAAACTGTGTTGTATAGATCTTCTGTGCTGCCAAATTTCAGGATTTATAGTTCCTTTGAAACAACACCCATATTTGAAGCATTGTAGTCCACCATTGTCCACTGCTGGTATTGAGTGCTTTATCAGTCTCTCTGTAAAAACAGTCTCTGAGTGAAGACAGCATGTTTTTCATTGGAAATTATTCACTGCAATCAGATGTCATACAATGATGTACTTGAGTGTAGCCCAAAAATACATTTTGTATATTCCTTCAAAGTCTTCACCACATATATTATGTGTGGACAGACATGGATGTAAACTGCAACTTGACTGTGTGGATGAACCAACAACTGCAGTGCAGTAATTCTAGTTGTCCTTTAATTGAACATGTTTTTCTTTTTTTACTTTACTGTGAAAATGTTGAATCTTATTGGGATTTATTGAAGTAGGTCTATACTCAGTATTGGAGGTTTAGCCAAGTAGAAGTTTTTTATTTTTGTTGTGGGCGAAGGTAGAGCGGGTCGTCCCCTAATCGGAAGGTTGGCGGTTCGATCCCCGCCTCCTCTCACTGCATGTCGAAGTGTCCTTGAGCAAGACACTGAAACCAAAATTGCTATGAGTGTGTATGAATGACTTATTTCCGTTCCGTTCCGTCTGGTGAGCAGTTATTTGATGATTCTTTTTTTTTTTTCATATACAAAATCTAAACCCTAAAACGTTTAAGCCTAAATTGTTTTAGTGTGTTTAGGTTTGCAACAAAAAAAAGAAAATTCAATTATTAAATGCTCTCAAAATAGTCAGTGAAACTCACCAATATTATAATAATATATAATATATAATAATTACAATACCCGGGATCGGGTCGCAGGGGTAGCAAGTCCAGCAGAGGACCCAAACTTTCCCTTTCCCTGGTCACATCAGCAACTCTGGACTGGGGGGATCCAGAGGCGTCCCAGGCCAGTGTGGGAGATTATAATCTCTCACCTGGTCCTCCGGTCTCCTGTGGTCTCCTCCCAGCTGGACGTGCCAGAACACCTCCCTCGGGAGGCGCCCTGAGGCTCCCTGGATGCATCCTCACCAGGATGCCCGAACCATCTAAGCTGGCTCCTTTGACGGCAAAGAAGAAGCGGCTTCAACTCCGAGTCCCTTGCGGAGTCGGAGCTTCTCATCCTATTCCCTAAGGGAAGACACAGCCTACCCTCCTGAGGAAACCCAATTTCCGTACCCGCGAATCTCGTTCTATCGGTCACGACCCATCTCTCATGACCATAGGTGAGGGTCAGAACAAAGGATTCGACCGGTAGATCGAGGAGCTTCGCCTTTCGGCCTCAACTCTCTTATCTCT